GGGGTAGAAACCAATTGGACCAAGTGTATTTGCTGGGGCGTCAAGCCGTCACCCTGCTCATCCTTTCCTCATCATGCTCGCCCTCCTCCTCCTCCTTTTCCTTGTCCTCCTCCTCCTCCTCCACGTCCTCCTCCTCCTCCGCCTCCCCCTCCCTACCTCGGGCGTGATGGACCATGGGACCTCATGGAGCCTCCTGGTAATCGCGGGGGCATCCTGGGATAGCAACCTCTGGGGACTTCCTGCGGCCTCTTGAAACCTCCTGGGCTCTCCTAGGGTATCCTCAGCCCTCCAGGGGCGTCCGCAGCGTTCTGGAACTTTTGGGTCGTTCAGGATACGCCCGGAGCGTGATGGGACCTCCTGGGGCCTTGTGGGACCTCGCGGGGCATCCTGGGACCTCCTGGGGCGTCCTGGAGCCTCCTTAGGATTCCCACGGCCTCCGGGGACGTCCTGAAGCCTCCTGGAGCTTCCTGATGCCTCCTGAGACCTCCTGGGGCCTCTTGGCGGCTCTCTAAGACGCCACGCGCGGGGCCTCAAAATTGGCGACAGTTTCAAGGATGGGAGCTTTCCCGTTGAGAAAGAGGGCGCGGTGGACGTTGGAAAATGACGACAAAGCACACTTGAGGGCCAAAACCGTGCCGGGCGCCCCCCCCCCGCCATTCCCGGTCCTGCATAGTACGGCGCGATTTGCCCCCTCCCCGCTGTCCCGCCGGTCCCCGGGAGGGCTAGTTTTTTAGTTTTCGCTGGTAAGAAACACTTCCCCCCCCCTCTCGGCGGTGACGGAGGGCAGGCGGCGGGGGAGAGCGGGTTGGCAGGGTGGCTGGTTGGGCACGGAGAGCACGCGGAAGGGATCGGCTGGTTGGCAGGATGACGGGGTGGGCGGCTGGGCTGTTTGGCTGACGGGTTGGCTAGGCGGCGGGGTGGCTGGGTGGGCTGGCTGGCTGGTTGGACAGGTTGGCAGGTTGAGCTGGCTAGGACAATTGGTTTCGACTGATACTACTACGACTAACGCTAACACGAACAATAGCACTAAGACTAACGCTCATCGCAATGTCATGAAAGCTGTGGCAAATGGAATGAGTAGTATGTATGGCATTGTGAATAGTAGTCATCGCCGTAGTCTCATAAATAATCTTACTTAATGCTGAAACGCGAATCGTGCCCATATTATACGTTTACACGTCCGTAGTAATATGCTTGATTCCGAGATACTAAAATAGTATGATGGTTCGTGTTCTTACAAGTAGAAATACTAGATACTAGTACTATTACTGATAGTACCCATATTACTCGTCGCGCTTAACTTCAAAACAGATTTATTTTGTTTAGTAGCATTGGTAGCGCGTTTCTTCTTAATGCTAGTACTATAAATATTCTCCTGAGTCGTTTTAGTGTTCGGCTTATGTGTGTCATGGTTATGCGTCCTAGTATCCGTGCCCTTCTTAATGCTATTAGTGGTTCTCGTGTTGCTGTAAGTAGCGCAAGTGTGCACGCACGTGTCCGTCTTAGTATTGTTATTAGCACTCGTAGGAGTAGTCTTAGCTTTGTTGTCAGCACCCTGGCTACGAATATGATACTGTGTAGTAACATTCGTGCTGATGTTACCATTGATACTATGCTTCATATTCCTGATACCACCACTATTAGTAGTATTATCATTATTCCGCTGAATACTGTGAACATGAATATACATGAATGCACGCAGTAAAATGATTCCGATCTCGTCCCCCCAGCGCAGAGGGCCAAAAAGGGCGGCCCCCAAGAGACCAGGACACGGGAGCGGAGCGCCGAAGGCAACAGGATTAAGCAAGCCACTCAATCACTGAAAAGGACGGGGAAAGATGCATCGTGGGAGCAACCTCATATTTTGGCACGTCCGGCTGACCCTCCCCAGCCGATGTACTTAGTCGAAATCTGCTCGCCTGGAATTCGCCAACACAGACGCGTCTGAGCCACAGAGGCAACGCCCCCCGCGTTGGATCCAACACAACAATTTAGCAGGAACAGGGGACGGCGGGCGGGAACGACAGACTACGGATCGAACTTATGTTCAACCCCCACTGCTCACTGAACGAAAAAGGGAAGCCTAGCTACTGGGCATTTCGTTCCCCAAGCGCAGAGGGCCAAAAAGGGCGGCTCCCAAGAGACCAGGACACGGGAGCGGAGCGCCGAAGGCAACAGGATTAAGCAAGCCACTCAATCACTGAAAAGGAAGGGGAAAGATGCATCGCGGGAGCAACCTCATAGTTTGGCACGCGCGGCTGACCGTCCCCAGCCGATGTACTTAGTCGAAATCTGCTCGCCTGGAATTCGCCAACACAGACGCGTCTGAGCCACAGAGACAATGCCACCTCTCCAGAGTATCACCAACAGCGTCCTCCATAATACTTCTGGCTATGGTATCTGTCGGGTGGGGCGGGTGGGTCAACGTGTAGAGCGTAGCTTACTTGGTAACTGAGACTTGAGCAGCTCCTCTTTTGCGGTGCGTTGGTCCCGGATTGCAGGATGCGCATGCATCGGCCGTGCTTGCTGTATCGCAGCACACTCCGCGAGGCGGCCCACTGGCCTCTCTTTTGGATCTCGGGAAGGCCGACGCCGCGAAGTGCGTCGAGACTCGGCCCTCCGTGACGCAGCATGCGTGGAACCGCGCCGGCCGCCTTCTCGAAGCTGGCGCGGAGCTTGCGCGAGCCGAATGGGAACACCAGCTGCCCCGGCGCCAGCCCCTGCACCAGCGGCCCCATCAGGCGGTCCAACCACAGCCTCTCGGCCGCGGCCTCGCCAATGAGCACGGCGTCGTCCTGTGTCTTGGTCTTGCTGACCTCGCCGTCGGGCTCTGGAAAGAAGACCAGGGCCCACCTGGCTGGCTGCACGCCACGGATGGGCTTGTGGAGGTCGCGCGCCTTAACAGCGCACAACGCCCCGATCCGCGCATAGGTGTCGAAGCCGAGGAGGACCGCCGCCGCTGCCCACGGCCCCAGCGAGCTGTCGCGGAGCATCAGGTGGGCCGCGATCGCGACCACGGCCTCCCACGGGCACGGGTCGCGGGACGACCCTGGGCCCTCCTTGCGGAAGCCCTCCATGGCGCTGCGGGCGGCGGGCAGCTTGGCGACGGACACCCGTCGCATCCACGCGCTGCCGCACAGGACATCGCGCGCCTCGTGGGCGCGAGCACCAATCGAGAAGAACTGGATCGTGAGGTACTGCTCGAGCATCGCGTCGAACTCCTCCAGCGTGCACCCGTGCTCGGCCGCTCGGGGGCGCGCTGCCGCGAAGCCCCGCATGGCCTCCTGATACCGCTTGAGCGTCTGGGGATTCACGCGGCGCCTGGCCAAGTACCCCTCGTCGCCCCCGGGCTCGTCGAGCTGGTCTCTCTTGGCGCGCCTCCTGGCTGCTGCGGCCTGGCGTGCCTGCACGACCTTCGGCCTTCGGCAGACTGGAGCCGGGGGCCGCGCCTGCGTCAAGCTGGGCAGCGAGGGCGCGCTGCCGCCGCTGGAGCGAGTCGCCACAGCCCCAGCGTTCTGCTGTCTCGGCCCACGGGCAGACGAAGCACCTGGGGCAATCCGGGACAGGCGGCGGCTGGACTGCTCGACCTCCGAGCGCGGCCGCCAGGTCCCGGACACAGCTGGCATGAAGAACGGGTTCGTTACGAATACGTAAAGCACCTGAAGGAGCCTCATCCTTCAGGACTCGAGCCAGAGCACGACACAACGCTGGAGGATACGCCCCTGCCAAGGTGGTCTTCCGCTTCATCTCATACTTATCGGGCTCCACCAAGACTTTCACCTTACCCCGGAGGACCTCGTGGGGGACCTTGCAGGAGCACAGCTTAGCCACCGTAGACAGGCCCCGTAGAGTACCCACAAGGCGTGTACGTTTGCGATACGGAGTCCCATACCGACAGTAGTCCACTATGGCCTCCTGAGCGCCCTGAGCCTCGATGAACCTCTTGAACGGGGTCCACTTGAAGATCCTGGAGCCTATCCGGTTCTCGAGTACCCACTTGACATGATGATGATGATGAGCAGCACGAGGAACACGGATAGTCGCCACCGCGGTCGGGTCTAGGATCTCGTCGGGCCTCAGGGCGTTGCTTCGAGCGCTAGACCATCGAGCACGCGGGGTCCCCATCCAGATCATCCAGATCTTTCCAGACTTAATCCATCTCAATATCAGCCTCAAAACTCGACTATTGGTAACATCATAATCCATCGAATAAGACGCGTCGAAGGGAGGCGCTATCCTCAATTCATTTTGCTGGCAGGCGCCTGACAACCGAGCGCATCCTGCAAACAGCTCCAAAATGGCCAGCTTGCACGACGCGAGGCACCCTGACGGTGGCGGCCTTGCGGATGAGGCCTGCACCGCTGGCACCCGGGCAGGAGCAGGGAGCTCTGCGCGACAACTCGCCCTGGCTCGGCCAATCTCCGCCTCCCCAACCTTCGCACGACCAGGCTGGGATACGTTCTAAAATATAATAAAAGTGTCCGATGACGAGGACCGCGAAAGTGAACTGCCCACCCTCGCCCGGCTGGCGACCCCGAGTTCGTCAGAAGCTCGGCGGGCGCAGGAGCTGCCCGCACCCTATCGCGATCAGCCAGGTCACGAAGCCCCGCGGCACAGAGGCGAGCCCAGAGCGCCCCACCGCCGAGCGCCTCGCCAGCGGCCAGCAGCCCACGGTCCGCCAGCCGTGAGTCCTCGTCGAAGCAGTTCCGCTCGCTGACCAGGTGACGGCGGCGCCAGCGGATCCCACAAGCCCCCTGCAGCGCCCCGGCGCGGCGGCACAGCGCGTTGAGCCCCGCGCCCTTGGCCCCGCCTCGCTCGGTGGCCAGGATCTCCGAAAGGTTGTCGCCCATCGAGAGCTGCTCGGAGTCGAAGTGGGGCGAGACCCACGAGTGCCGTCTTAGCCCCAGCAGCGCCGCCCGGGCTTCCTTGTTGTGGATAGCCTCAGGGCGGCACCAGGCGCCAATCACCACTCGGCGCCACCGCGGGCGATCGGAGAAGACCCCGGCGGGCTCAGCCAACGCATGCGTCTCCACCGCCTCCACTGCGCGCCGCGATGCCACTCTCGAAGTACCCGCTCTCCAGGCGGTGGACGTGAGCTCCGCGGCGCCGACCTCCTCGAACCCCAGCTCCTTCTCGAACGCTGGGGCCAGGAAGCTCGTCTCGGCCCCCACGGAGCTGTGGATGCCGGTCGGCTCGACGGTCTCCTCGTCCAACAAGTACTCCTCCAGCGTCTTGAACCGCCAGCGCTCCCGACAAGCTGTCGCCCTGAGAACCTCGTACTCCGCGAACGGGCCAACATGCAAGGCGTAGCCCTTCCCGCTGGAGTCGGAGCAATAGACCGCGGTAGCCGCCCTGAGCCGCATCGCGCGGCGCGCGATCACCACCAGCCCCGCGGCAACCTGCAACTCGCCAACCACATTCGGCGCGAGGTCGCCCACGGCGTCCAGATGCTCGCCCAGCCAGCGCCAAACCTCGTGCAGCGCGGATATGAAGGGCGGAAAGACCATGAAGTGGTTCACCAGGTGGCCGATCAGCCTGCGGAACTGCCGCGCGGAGAAGGTCTTGCGGCGAATCGCCGCGTGGATAGCGCAGTACAAGCGCCACGTCACCTCCCGCTCGTGGAGCATCATGGGGAAGGCGCCCCCGACCAGCCGAAGCCCCACCTGAACAACGTCCTGCCCCGCGCAGATGTCGCCCCGCCAGAGGAAGCCGCGGCGGTGGAGCTCCGCCAGCAGCGCCTCGTAGGACTCCTGGGCATCACGGGCGCCCGAGCAAATGAGGAAGGCGCCATCCACTTAGGGCGCGAGGATGGGACGCCCAGCCTGGAGGACAGGAGGAGGCCGACGGTCACGCAACACGCGCGCGTCGACGTCATCCCTCTCGTCACCCGCCCGCCTCATCTCCGCGCAGACCTGAACGTCTGCGAGCGCGGAGCGGCAGAAGAAGAACGACCACGTCCAGCCCATCGGAATCACCTTCACGCAGGTCCAGAGCGTCTCCTCGGGGTTGACGTCGGTCCACTGTCGGGCGTCGTCGTCAAACACTCGTGTGACTCCGCACTCCGACGCGAGAACCTTGTGGGCCAGGCAGAAGTAACCCGCCGCCTCCTCGAACTCGAACTGGAAGTACCCGTCGGTGAGGTCGGCGCCCGAGACATGCACGCCCAGCGGCCGCCCCGCCTCCGCGCGCTGCCTTGCGAACGCCCCCCCGTCTCTCAGGACCAACCCGGCCAGGGAGGGCGCGGTGGCCAGCTGACTCACGGGCGGCGGACGGTGAAGCACGTTAGCTGGGCGACAATCTAGAACCAAGCGCAAGTGGCAACCATCCTTCTTGATCACCGTGAAGGCGCCCACGAAACATCGGGCGCGACGACGAAAGGACAGCATCTCAGCATCGTGCAGCGTCTGAACCAGTGATCTCATGTTCTTCGGGCCCCTCAACACAGGATCGAGGTAGGGCTTCACTGGGGCCTCGGCTGCTATGCGATTCTCATCATCGGGTAGCCTGAATATCCATCTCCACGGATCAGCCGCCATGGGTCGGGCGTCTGGCCCAACCACTGCGCCGACCGGCTTAGGGCGAACGCCTCCATCTCGCACCACACGGACTCGATCGGCATCAGACGGCCGCCGCGTCGCATCGTCGCCAGTGAAGTCGTAGACGCTCAGAGCACGAAGCACGCCCCGCAGGGCGGACTTCCTGTCAGACCCAGAGGGAGGTCGACCCAAGTCCTGGATGGACTCCCTCAGCCGGGCCCCCACAGCCCGTTGAAGATCTGTAGGTGCCGTCGCTGTAGTGCACCGCGCAAGCCGGTGCCCGGCTCGCGCTGAAGCCAATACGTTCAGAGAGCCCACCACCTCGGCGAACCTCCGATCACAAGCAGCCGCGTGACGCGGCAAGATACCCCCGAGGGGCGCATCGCGCCTGCCCACCACACACGGCAGCGGAAAGACGTCCCGACCAGGCGGAGAGGCGGCAGAAGTCGCCGAAGGCCCAGTCGAGGTGGGAGGGGCGCAGTGGTCCCGCTGGTCGGAGTAGCCGAAGGGGATCGAGGAGGCACCGTGCCCACAGGCCTCTCCCACTGGGGGGAAGTGACGAGGGACGTCGTCACGGCCAACAACGTCGTCTCGATCCCGTAGCAGCATCATGACCCCGGCGACCCCTCCGGGCCGCCCTTGTGCTTGTTCTTGTCCTTCTGCCGCTTCGTGTCTGCTTCCGCCTCCTCCTTGAGAAGCCGATCCGACTTCATGATGATCACCTGCGTCTTGCGCATCTCCGCCATCTCCGCGTCGAACTGGGCGGTGACGACACCTCCGCTCGAATCGAAGGCGTACGCCATGAACGATTCCAGCCCCTCGAAGTCCGGGTTGCGCGGATTCCGCCTCACCGCCCTCTGGATCATGAGGGCGCGCCGAGAGGCGAACGCCGCTGCTGCGATGTTCGGCAAGTTGAGCTGGTCGTAGCACACCATCATGCGCAACAGGCTCATCAGGTGAAAGCGCTCAATCGCAGTGGCCGTCCTCTCGCCCACCGTGCTACTCCTGACCCAGAAGGCGTGATAGGTGCCGAACTCGTGGCCCGATGCCGCCACACCCTTCGCCAGCTCGAGCACGGAGCGAGACTTCTGGAACGGGAAACCGTCCGACTCCAGGGACTGGCGCAGCAGCTTCACAGCATCCCGCAACATGATGCTCCTCGTCTGGGTGCCGTCGTCTAGGTGCAACGGCAGCAGCCGTGAGTCGCGGCTCTCTCGGCAGAGCTTCTCCTGCATCCAGCGTAACTTGTCTCTCGTTGAGATCCTCTCGGCGGTAGTCCACTCCTCTCCTCGCCTGATCAGGCATACCGAACCTCGGGCGATAGCCGTGGCCTCCGACCCCAGCAGGTGGTCGTCAACATCCTCGGCGAAGAACGCACACGATGGGTCCGAGTACAAAAAGGAGCCGCCCTCGTCGCCGCCTGGAACGCCACCCGCCGGGGCCGGAGGTCCGCCCAGGATCTCCGCGAGTGCCCGGCCCTCGGGACGGATGCGAGCCAGATCCTGAGGGGCGATCGGGTTGTCGAAGGCGGACACATGGTGCTGCGGGGGGTAAGGCGACGCTCTCTGCAGTGGCACCATCGACACGACGGCCACTCGATCGGCCGAGTCAACGGCGCGCATTGAGAAGTCAGGCGTCGACCATACCCACCGTGGCCCCTCCAGCTTCACGATCAGCACTCTGTGATGGTACGGGATGTTGTCATCAGGATAATGAACCAGGACGTGACGCTCTGGGATGTCCAGACTCATCGGCTCAGCTCTGCCCTCAATCTCCTGCTCTCCGGCGTCTCCACGTCCAGCAGAGCGGCCGTGCTCCGTGGTGGTCCCCGCACTCTCGAGCTTCGACCGCCGACACACGAGCAGCAGGCCACGACACCGAGGGTGCACACGGTCCCGACCAGCACGCCCACGACGAGCAGCCTGACTCCCAGGATCCAGTCGAATGAGCTTTCCTCGCCCCCGGCAGGGGCCTCGCAAGGGGTACAAGGGGTCGAGGAGCTGGCCGCAGCCAACACGCGGGCGATGGCCGCCTCCAGCTACGCCAGACGGTTCTCACTCGGCACCCCGACCTCGCACGGCGCCACGGGCGGGCACTGCAGGGAGGGGCACGCAGGACAGGCTGGAATCAGCGGGTGCGCGGGACACACCAAGTCGGGGCACGCTGGTGCCCTTTGGCGTCCCCACTCGAAGTAGCGGCCGAAATGCAACACCGCGCTGAGCCAAGGAGCAATCGCCCCGGCCGCGCGGTCCATCTCGAGCCAACGACAGACTACGGATCGAACTTATGTTCGACCCCCACTGCTCACTGAACGAAAAAGGGAAGCATAGCTACTGGGCATTCCTAATCTTCCTCCTCCTAGTCTTCCGCCTCCTCCTCCTCCTTCTCCGCCTCCAAATCCTCCTCCTCTTCCTCCGCCTCATCCTCCTCCTCCTCCGTCTCCTCATTATCCTCCTCCTCCTCCTCCTCCCCTTCCGCCTCCTCCTCCTTACCATCCCCCCTCTCCTCCTCCTCCTCCTCCTCCTCCTCCTCCTCCTCCTCCTCTTCCTC